AAGTCAGCGCAAAGGATCATCGGCTGCCCTCTTCCTTCACTCGGGGACATTGCTGACATCTGCTTCCTCTCCAGAGAACATCATAATGTCTATTTCTCACCACAGTCATCATCTTTTCGACCTTTTGCCCCCAAGGAAGCGGTATAGGTCAATTAAAACGTACAGAAACAGATCCAGACCCTTGATAAACACTCAGCGTTCTTTACAGCTTAACACCATTATGTGTGCAATATTGTGTCAGTCAGTGCAGCACTTGACCTTGGACTTGCACTCACAGCATCTTATCTCACCCTGCCTTCGTCTGTTTTCTATATGTTGTGTTGTTTAGGACAGGTGTATGTACTGAAATTTCAATCTATCACTGTATGTAGTGACAATAACAACATCTTATTTTATACAGTCAGCTGCCACTGTAGTACGGGGTTAGCGACTTTTGCTTTCAGGACTGACTAAATTCTTCATTACACCAACACAGCCAGCCTGAACTGCTGATGCAAGACAGGATGGGTCTATGCTTTCATGTTGTTTATGCCAAATTCTGACCCTACCTGTACCTATGTTAGAGCACAAATCAGGACTCATCAGTGCACACTTCCAACAGACACATTCCCAATCCTCTTTTGTCAAGTTTTTATTTATTTGTTTATTAACCTTTATTTATTTCATTGTGATTTAACTCTCATTTCCAAGAGAAACCTGGCCAGGACTACACACAGGGTCTATCTTGGTGAGCCAGTGTGAATGTAGCCTCACTTTTCATTCTGTTAGCTCACAGATGGGCTACAGCACCCGATGTGGTCTTCTGCTGCTGTAGCCCATCTGCTTAAAAGACTTGACATGCTGTGCATTCAGTGCTCTTATACATACCTTATTTGAAACGAGTGGTTTGAGTTACTGTCGCCTTCCTATCAGCTCAAACCGATCCAGCCATTCTGTTTAAATCTATTATTTTTAAAACAAAAACCCATTTCCAGCTTGTAAATGTAAGCAAACCATTTCCTGCCTTTATCTTCAACATAATGCTACTCATCTTTGCACCTAACTGCAACAAAATGTAACATCTTTTGGATCGTCCCTTCACCAGAAACTCAGCCAAATCATAACTGGAAAAATGGCAGACGCAGTAAACGTCAGTCATTCTGTCTCCTGGTAAGTATTACGAGTGCCTTAGCAATTTGCTCTATAGTATGTGAAGCCGCTGAGGTTCTTCTAGCCTGAGGCCTGAAATCATTAGCCATCTCCCAAAGCACAGCAGCGCGTTTACAGATGAACTGCTTCTGATGAGTGCGCTGGAGAGCGCTTCTGTATTTGTCCAGTCCTTCTTTAAGGACTAATCTCTCAGTGCTGGCTGAGTTTGATGGCAGAAAAACTCTTATGTTTTGCTTTTATATCTGAACTCTCTACCTCTTTAACACAAAGTCACTTTTAGCTGTGTAGTTCGCTTCACTGGAAAAGGCTGATTCTGTAGGCTGAACTGAACGCCACGGAGAGAAGAAATACCCATTAGCTGTCGGGGTTATAAAAACATTCTTCCTTGCACTCACAAATCCTACTTGACACTGGACGCACTTAAATAGAAATTGACTTTTTCTGTCAGCTGGATGGTGTAATAAAGACAAATGAAAATGCACACCTTACCCCACTGGAGAGTGAGATGTTCTCACACAGCTCTTGTTTCCATAAATAAACAGTGTTATGCCATCCACTTTAATAAGAGTGGGCAGAAGTACTTGAATTAAAGTGCGCAGGAGTGAAGGGAGCCACAGCTAGGTGATTAAACACAATTTAAAAAGCAAGCAGAATAAATCTCACTAACCAAATCACAAACATGACGAGAATGCGGGTCACCACTTTTTTTCCTTTATTTTGTTGTACACGCAGTTGTATTTTGATTTAAATATAAATAGTAATAATATTTTTAGGCAAAGAAAAGTGTGACAGTGTCATTCAGTAAGTGCGCAGCACATGCTACACGTTACAACAGTGCAAGAACAGACCTGACGTCTGCATTTAGGATTCATTCCAGCACACGATCAAGCATCGCAGGGTGATTAAAGAACATACAGATGCTGCGACAGATGGTTCGCAGAAGGCTCAGAAGGGCTGTGTTGAGTTTAAAAGCTGGTGAATTTAAAAGTGTTAACCTTGACTGTGTGATTCATTTTCATGACGCGCTGCCTTGTTTATCACTGCACAAACTGTGGCAGACACAATGGCTACATCTACTGGCCATTCTGCAGAGCTACACTCATGTAGTTGAAGCCCTGGTGCACACAGAAGTCTGGAGGGGACTAACTAATATAGTTAAATTCTAGATGCAGTCCAGTTGCTGCATAAACATAAACATAAATGAGAGAAAGAGAGAGAAAAAAACAGAATTACACACAGTCTGCGTTCCCAGAAAGGTCATCAAATAGGAAAACAAACATGCATGGTTCACTGAGCTGGATAGATAAAAAAAACAACAAAAAATAACAGCATCAGATTGCACAATAAACACGAACTGTTATCTAGCAGCTCACAAGTGTTGAACTAGAGAAGTTAATCCCTAGAGCACATGCTGTTCAAATGATTGCCCAAACTACTGCAAACACATGCCAGTTTTTGGCAGGAGCTTGAGAGATTTCTGCATAAATATGAGAGAGGACGACTTCTTTGGCATAGGGACCCTACAAAAGGGTTCAGCACAATCACTCTAAATGACGATCTAAAAGACATTTTAGACGCTTTATATAGGTTTGCAATAAATAAACACAAAATGTGTGTTGGGTAGGATTAAAGGCCTAGACCAAATTGTAAATTAAGAACAGATTTGAACAGTCAATATTAAGGAGATCACATCTCATAAATAACACACAGGATTTAATCTGCACAGAAGACAATTAAAACCTGAAGATAAGCTCAAAAGGCACGGCTTGTTATAATCCCACAGGTCAAATTTCATTCAGCAGCTTTATGGTCAAGGTCAGGATCATGCGTTGAGGAAGTAAATGAGCAGATTTTACCCAACTGGTAGCGATCATTCAGGGGATCGTGCTCTGTCATTAGGTCTGGAACTTCATTCATTTTCCCTTGGTTCTTCTTATCAAACGCTGCTGTAATCTGAGCCAGCGTCTTGCCCTTTGTCTCTGGCAAGGTGAGGCCTAGAAACACAGCAGATACCAAACAAACACAGAGGAAAGGCAGAAAGCAGAGGTTTCCCAGGCCGTTGACGATGAAAGGTAACAGCATTCCCATTAGGAGCAGGCTAATCCACATTAGAGAGCCGGCGATCATGTAGGCCGCTGGACGAGCCGTCTGATCAAAGATCTCAGCTGGTAAGATCCCCGTCACTCCAGCTGGGCCCAGGCCAAAGCTGAGGATGTAAGCGAAAACGCACACCATGCTGAGGTAAGCCATCCCTGTCACTTTGCGGCTCTGGAGTGAAAGAGCTACAGTAAAAACTATAGACCAACAAGACATGAGACTGTAACCCCCGATGAGAAGGTACCGGCGACCCACGCGTTCAATCAGGAGGTTACTCAGAATGGAAGCTGTTAGCTCAGATGCCCCCGTCCCAATGGTGACGTACTGAATTTTCTCTGGTGGGATCCCTGCTTCCTGAAAGATGTAGGAAGCATAGAAGTAGATGGAGTCGTTTCCACAGAGCATCATGGCGCTGCTGGCGGCCATGACTGTTTTGAGTTGTGATCGTAAATTACGATCCTTAAACAGGGCCCAGGGTGTCTTAGCAGAAGATGTAGCTCCAGAATTTATGGCTGCGGACATTTGCTGCTCCTGAAGCAACTCCTCCATCTCCAAAACGGGAGCCTCCCCGCCGCGGAGTCTTCCAAGAGCCTGGAGACATGCTTCCCTGTCTCCCTTGTCGATGAGTAGGTACCTGGGGCTTTCGGGGAACCAGGGAAGGGTAAGGAGCTGGAACAGTGCTGGCAAAGCATTACTAGCCAGTAAGTAGGGCCAAAGAGGCTCACTACCCAAAAGCTCAGTAAGTCCCACAACCTGACCCAAAAAGATCCCGAATGCGGTAAAGACAGCAGAGGAAAACGCCACAGCACCTCTGAGGTGTTTGGGGGCACTCTCTCCAAAATACATGGGCTGGACATTCATGCTGACACCTGAGTTCATCCCCACCAGAACACGAGCAATGATGATCATCTCAAATGATTTTGCCACCCGGCATGTTAGCACCAGCACAGCAGCAGCAAACATGAAGGAATTGTTCAAAAGCAGAGACTTTTTCCTCCCAAAGCGAACTGACATAGGGCCTGCCAGCAGGGCCCCAAAGAGGCCACCAAGAGAAAAGGCTGATACTATCAGGGTCCACACCAGGGTCACCTTAGGGATATCCAAGCCTGTACCCCAGCGTTCCATGTAGGTGTCATTAATAAACCTTTGGATGTAGCTGGTAGGAGCGTTGATGATGGAGATGTTGTAGCCGTACTGAAAGGTTCCTCCAATGGCAGCACAGAGCACAGTCAGTCCAAGAGTAAATCCATTGCCTGAAGGTTTCCTGGTTTCTTCTGGTACATTATCTGCAGACTTCATCTCAAAGCAGGCTCTTTAAGTGGAAGAGCAAACTTGTCCCCTTCCGTTAGTTGTTCAATCAGTCCAAACCTTTTATGTAGCTTAGAGAGACGTTTTTCACTCATATGAGACTACGGCTGATCTCTAATGCGGTTCAGATGAAAGGCAGCGTGATTCTTCAGTTAGAGCCGGGGTTATATAAAGGTGTGCTTTTTCCCTGAGTCTAACCTTTCAGGCAACGTCCTACCCGCAAGAGTTCTGCTGCAGTGATCCTTCCCCGGTCAAATTTAGAGTTAAACGTTTAAACGTTAACTCAAATTACAGAAAGTATTTCAAAGACTAATAAAAAGAAGTGAAACCAGCTATGGGAAACAAGTATTATTCCGAAAAATAAATCCTGCTAGTCTAAATTTAGAGAATTAATTTCACAAAGTTAACGGATGTTTCTGCATGTGTGAGGCGCGTACAGAGTGCTGATTGGTTCAAACTGCTTACGTCATTTTTCTGCGCTTACTACTGTCGCGAGGAAAAAATGTAAGTGAACGCTGTCGTTTTAATTCGTTTCTCTTTTATATTTGGCTTATAAATCGCAAGTTACTACATGAAAGTGTTAACGCGAAAGTTACTGCTTTTAGCTTTACATGAAATTGTTAATAAGCAAACACAATATACAGCCATATTATTATTATTTATATATTTAACCAACGGTAAGCTAGCTAACTTTTGAGCTAGCTTGATTTTGTTTTGCATTTTCTATGAGTAGATATACTGTGGCCACTCAGCATTTGTCCTCATTCTTAAAAATGCATATGTGGCGATTACAGAAATGTGTTGCAGAACTGCTCAAAGAGCAATTGAACGAGGGTTCGCGAGTCTCCTACAGAATAATAACAACAAAAGGAAGTTCATTCCCCCCCCCCCCTAACACAAAAGTATTGGTAGCATCTATTTGACAAATCAACTAAATTAATTTGTAGCTCATGTCAAAAGCGCAAAGAATTATGCTTCCATAAACAAGCGGTCATTCTTACCTCAGTGTTGGAAAAAGTGACGATGCAGATGCTTTTGCACAGCGACGGAAAGACGTTACTTTAGCATCCCTGTAGTTACGTCAGTGAAATATTATTTAACTGAGAATGTGAGAATAAAGATCCTTTTCCCTCATATACCTCAGAGTGTTAGTTACCTTTAACAACTGGGATGTGATCAATAGCAGGCAAGGAGTTAAAAATGGAGAAATGACGAACGTATTCAACATAGTCTGACTAAATCAAATTCTCATTCTCCAGTGATCATAAAAGGTAAGCCAAAAGTTTTGGAATTTTAATTTAATAATTAAAACTATGATAAAGGGGAAAATGCAAAAAAAGTACCAGTAATATAGGTAATCAACATTTAGTTTCAAAAAGCTAGAAAGGGACAATATAATTCAGTAAAAATGTAAGATTATTTACAGCCACTAGTAACCGTACTGCCAAAATACTGTAAATTTCAACGGTGGCTATGAAGATAATGTATTTGTGTAAAAACACAGAAAGATGAAGAAAATTTGCAGGTCCAAAATATAATATAACATATTTCAGTGCAGCATATTTTGAAGCCACCTAACAGTTCTTCCAGTGTTTGTTTAAAGTCAAAAACTGCCTGTCCAATAAAACAAAGAAAAAAGTACAATTAAACAGTATTTGTTGGAAAACGTTTATTATTAATTTTCACTATGACATAATCTTATCATTTCAAGTAAAATAAGGTTTGCCTTCAAAAAATAATAAAAAGCTGTAGTTTGAGTTTCCCTTTTCTTGAGTTACATCTCACATATAGACCAGCTCAGCTTCAAGCCTCTTTTACTCCATTTTTGTTTTCCTTTCTTTTATACTTTCCAAGTCTGCTTGGAAAGGTAGTGCAGATGTTAACCTCATGTTATCATATGACGCGAATGACAATAAAGCTCCTTGAATCCTTGAGATTTTAAATAACATTACCAAAATTGTAAGAAAAGTTGTGCAGACTAAAATAGAAATGTTCCTTCAAACTCTAGTCCGTAAAGGCCTGTAATGTAGTAGGGATGGAGCCGGACTCCCTTAAGGTGGTGTCAGAGAGCCGGATGTTGTCTAAGATGAGGGCAATGCTGGACAATACAGCCCATCCATTCTATGACAGGAGCACGTTCACTTAGAGACTGAGTTACCCAAATGCACCGCTTAATAACACAGGAAATCATTCCTGCCTGTCAGTTTGCATGGTTTGATGTTACTGTATGCAAATGATAATCTATTTTTGCACAGTGCAAAGGTGTTGGGGATGTCTGGCACCCTAAATCTTAGATCCTTTTGGTTGTTTTCTCCTTTAACAGGGCGCCTTCTCCAACAAAAAGGAAGGACGATGACAAGAGCAAACAGCGCAGCAAGGACAAGTCAGGAGCCACTAAGGAGGGAGCTGACAAAGGCCGGGGCCGAGACAAGAACCGCACCCGACGCAGCGCTTCTAGCAGGAGCAGCAGGTCAGATCACTAACCACCTGTTCCCCTCTGGTTTGAATGAGAGTTAGCTCATTTTAATTAAATCCTTGGGACCAAACCCTTCTATTGCTCCCCTCAGCAGATCATCCATTTAAAAATAAATAAAAAATGATCATAATGTTCTCTTTAGGTCGAGCTCCAGCTCCAGCAGCAGCAGCTCAGGATCCAGCTCTGGCTCCTCCAGCGGCTCAAGCTCCTCTGCCTCCAGCCACTCTGGCTCCTCCAGCTCCCGCTCTTCTTCCTCCTCATCTTCATCATCCTCACCCAGCCCCAGCCGCCAACGCCACAACAACAGACGACGCTCACGCTCAAAGTATGGAAGCGTTTACTAGGAAGCACCCAAAAAACTAAATGTAGTAAGAGATTAGCAAGAGGTTGTACATTGCCTGTTCAGTGAGTAATCCTCAGTGAGTCTTAGTTCTGGTGATGTTTTCAGAAAAAGAACTTAAATGTACTTGAAGAGTTTTCATATTAGACGCTGTCATTAACAGCTCACATGTTAAATTAAAGTCAGATGTGATTGTAGGTCTAAATCGCCAAAGAAGGAAGGCAGGGATCGACGACGCAGGAGTCCCACACCAAAACCGACCAAGGTCTTCCTGGGTCGGCTGACCAGAAACGTCATCAAGGTACATTCTTAACCAGAAGTGCTTAAAAAGATGGGTTTTTTTGTTTGTTTGTTTTTATTGTTATCCCATTGTCTCTTTTGCAATGTCACAGAATGTTTTTTTGTTTTGCTTTTTTTTTGTCATCCATAACTTAAAATTTCAAGTTGATAAGCCGTTAGCTCCACCAATCAGGAACCCCTGTGAACATATTTCACTGTTACCCAGAAACAGAAGGTGGAGGTATCAACTACCAATGCTATAAATGGAGGTCACAGTGAGCAAACTGCTTTCAAAATGGTTTTAAAATGATGACATCCTTGTGTTACTAGTGGAAACATGCTGTTATTATTAGCATTAACAGGAATTTTTCCATGTTTACTATACATATCCCTGATTTTGAGTGCACCTGTGACTGCACCATTTGATTCTGGGTAACTAGGGAATGACGTCATTCACGGAGCTTTCTGATTGGCAGAGCTAACTTGAAATTTCAAATAAACTAAAAATGTAGTTATGGATGTATTTTTTTTCTTTTGTTTCCACCACTGGGGGGGATAATCTTTCAGACTTTTGTATTTAAGTCTTAAAAGCAGGGAATCTTTGTGTGATGTATACAAGCAGTGTGCAAATGGATAACCATGAAGCCAGATTTTCTTTCACACCCGATTTCTGTTGATACGTACGATAGATCCTGAGGGACTGCAGCCAACAGAATAACAAGTAATAAACATACTGCTTAGTCACAGCTTTAAACTGTGAGCAGAGTTTATTTTCACTGGTCTTAAAACGTTTTGTGTTTGCTCAAAAAACTGTTTCTTTACAGTTTGTTTTGAAACTTTTTATTGACTCAAATGAAGAAGACGATAGTAGGGATGGTGGAGAGTGCTCACAGGGGACTGATTAAGCCTTTGTTTTGGAGTTTGAGTCAGCAGCATTAAAATCTCTGGTAAACACGGTTAGCTACAAGCACAGTGGCCACATTTCATTTTTGTGAAAACTTAAGATATTTGATAATTTGTAGTTGATTGTAAAGCAAATCTTTGTAGTTGCTTAAAAAAAAACAAATGTAGGCTGTAATGAAATGCTTTGCATTTCTATTATTACCTGAATAATTTTACCAGTACGCTCACGAAACAAGCATGGAGTTACTGATTACACTGAATGTGGCTGCAAAGAACTGATAAGGTGTTAACTGCAAGGAGGTATTTCTTACTCTAATAAGTATTAGCAGCCTTTCATTCCCTCAAATCCTGTTTGTTTTCTGTCTCAGTACAGAAACTTGTTCAGTCTTTTCTGGATAATTCTGTGTGTTCCAGAATTTTTAGTACACTCTGGGAGACTGGGAGAGGATTAATGCTGCAGATGATTCAGAGTGTGTAGTTGTCCGCTACACTGTTAATTGCAGAACAGTGGAGCTGCATCTGTGGACCTCTGGAGGAGAGAAAAGGGGTGGAGGGGTGGTGTGGGGGCTTCTTGATGATTTAATTCGTTGGTTTCCCGCTTGATAAATAATAATCATTAAAATATATATTCAGGCTTTCATTCTAATATATATACTAATTTCCTAAATGGCATTCTATGTCATATGTAATGTGTGTGTGTGTGTGTGTGTGTGTGTGTTGGTGATGCTTAGACTGCCCAGTTACACAGAAATGACCCCCAGAATACAATACATCACAGATGCACTGCTGAACAAAATTAGGATCACAGAAAAACAAAAATCGGAGGTCAGGTCATAGCTGTCACAGAGCCGTACTGTTCTGCACGCCAGTCTGTGATAGCTTTTGCTCAAAGGTAGAAGAGAGACCAGTCTGTGGCAGGGGTGACTGCTGTCCTTGGTGATCCTTTTTGCCCTTGACAGGTGGCATTGTTGGGCCAGGCTCCCAACAGGTGGCAGTGAGACCCCATTAATCTCAGCTGCCATCGCCACGCTCCCCAGTGGCTTTCTGTTTGAGGCACTGCTGCTCTCATGCCACAGAGTGTTGGTACTGTGTTGGTACACTCTGTGTGGTGGCTCTGTAGGAAGTGGTGAGGACAGATGGGTTAAGATGAGCCTTTTTTTAAACCCCGGAAGAAAGGCAAGAAAATTTTTTTGAAAACATAGGAGATGTGCAGGGGTCACATGAACCCCCACGAATATTATATGAAGCACAGTTTCCACACCAGTGTTGATGATATAGATTGGGCTGCGTATAGTCAAATAACAGCTCTTTGCTTGGGGGGTTCACTTTCAGAATAAGATTGCCATTGCTGCAAAAAGTTTCACCTCCTTGTGGTCCTTATTGTTATTTTCCTTGTTAAGACTTTGATGAGATCTTGAATTTACAAAGTAGTTTTCTGAGATCATGCAGTGTTGTGGCTGTGAGGTGATCCTGGAGTCTGTAATACATTTGATACCCTGTCCCAGTCTAGTTGTATCTCTATGGTCCTGAAATTGGTTCTATAATTTGGGTTTTTGTGACTAAGGGCCTTTTTTGCCACTCTGATTTTCTTATAGAGGTTGGCTCTTATAATTCTGAGGGCTGCTTAATCTCCAGAATTAAAAGCAGAGTTTCTGTCATAAGGTTCTCACTCACCCTGATATTGATGCTTTTTTTTTTTTTTTCATGCAACCTCAGCCACAACTGGTCATGACAGATGGCTGTCCCTCCTTGATCCTGGATCTGAGCTCTGAGGTTTCCTCCTGTTAAATGTTTTTTTTCTTCCTATTGTCACCAAGTGCTTGCTTATAGGGTTTGATTGTTGATGATTTTCTCTGTATTACTGTAGGGTCTTTACCTTACAGTATAAACCACATCCAGGTGACGGTTGTTGTGATTTTGTGGCATATGAATAAAATTGAATTGAAATTTTAGATCTAGCCACATAGAGCCTTAGCATGCTCCTCAGTGTCTGTGTCCTGGGCTGTGATGACAGCCCCTCGAAACACTGATCAGTCTGTGCAAATCCTGCAGTGCTGCTCCGTAGTTCTGATATGCTGGAATTTACAAGACAGAGACGTGGTCTGATGAGTTGATGGTAGGGGCGGAGGGTTGAATGCTTTGAATGCTGCTGTTATGTTTGAATAAACACAAGTAGTCAAGTATGACCCTCTAGCTACAAAATCCACGTTGGAAAAAGTGGCGGAGAACTTTATTCAGAACCATTTGTTGGTTGTTTTGTATCATTCATGTAGAGATGCCAAGTATTCACTGTCAGCTTTGTGTCTGTGTAACCATGGATGTAAAGAACAGTGATGGAAATTACTGAGAGTTTGCTGAACGGCCAGCATTTAACGGCCAAGTCCTCAGTGTGTGGAGAACAATGTGATAGCCCTGTTTGTGTCCATGCACCATCTGTTGTTGATGTGGATACCTACTCCACCACCACAAGGAATGCTGCTTCTGTGTGACGTTTTCCCTGCTGAGCCTCATCTGTGCAGCCGTCGGGCTCCTCAGACTTTAAATGAGCAAAGATTTCAAGTTCAAGCAGAATGATGAATGAAGTCTGTAATCAGCAACTGACAACCGGGAAACCACAAATGGATCAAAAATCAAAAGAGGGCTCAAGAATCAGTTCTACCAGGAAGAACAAATAATTTTTGGTTTAGAAGCTGAAAGTTACTCACAATAAAAACAGCAGGTATCTCAAAGGTTTTCTGTGTCTTTTAAAGGAGCACATCCAGGAGATTTTCTCCACATATGGCAAGATCAAGATGATTGAAATGCCCATGAACCGCATGCACCCTCACCTGTCCAAGGGGTACGCCTATGTGGAGTACGAGACCTCCGAAGAGGCAGAGAAGGCTCTGAAGCACATGGACGGAGGTAGGAAGGACTGAAGAGATTGTTTTAGAGCCATGTTCTGAGTCATGAGCTTAAAGGGGATCAACTCTCACGCTGATGTCTTTCAGGTCAGATCGATGGTCAGGAAATCACTGTCACAGCTGTGCTGACTCCCACGGTGCGCCCCCCTCCTCGCAGGCTTTCCCCTCCCCGGAGGATGCCTCCTCCGCCCCCGATGTGGCGCCGGACTCCACCTCGTATGAGGAGAAGGTAATGAGCAAATGATGGGCATCCACAGTGGAGAGGAAACACTCTAATGCTGATTTTACCACAACTGAAAACTCTAAATTCTAACACACTCTGTTTTAACTCTGTTTCTCTGATCATTTACTTTTGACCTCTTCTGTTATTTATGTTCTTTCTCTTTTTCTAGATCTCGGTCTCCACGCCGACGGTCTCCAGTGCGGCGCAGGTCTCGATCGCCTGGCCGCCGCCGCCATCGGTCGCGATCAAGTTCCAACTCCTCACGCTAGCGATCGTGAAGCCTTTCCTCTCCCTCGCCTCCTCTGAATTTATTCTTTTGTTTTGTCCTTTTGATCAGAGCAACAAAAAATGTGAAAGAAAAATGTTTTTGTGTTGTTTCCTTGTTAAGTGGCGAACACAGGAGCACCAAAGTCTTTACCATTTTACCCAGTAAAGACGTTCAGGCGGTGTTTTATGATAATAAGACGTAAGAATTGTGTTGAACTTTAAATGGTTCATTTTTATTACATTGAAACCTTTTCATTATTTTCTAATTTTTTTGTTGTGTTCATGTATTTGAAAACAATAGAAACACAAAACTGTAAAAGAGCCTAAAAGGCAAATCTTCATGTGTCCCCAGTAAGAAAAAAGGCTGTGAGATTAAAATAAAAGAACCTCTTGTATGTTTATGAACCACAGTGGGATTAATATGAAAATTGCAATGCAACCATTTCCTAGTTTTCACATCATTATTGGACCTCCGTCCTTTAGATTAACACAGTTTCCTTCTGCCTGTCCCTAATTTCTGTTGTCAGTTATAGTGTTGGGTAGTTGCTCAGTCATATGGCAATGAATAGCCATTATTGCCATTGCATTTACAAGTGCTATTAAAGCTTAGATAATCACACTAATCTTTATATCTATCATATGACCCATCCACAATATTACCGTCTTGTAATTCTGCCACGACCTTAGAATGAATGACTCCGTGATCGTTACTAGATGGGCTGCTGTTGTTGGCTCTACCCTGAATGCAATAATAAAACTAGTACTTTTTTTTCTTAAGCTCTATTAGGTAGATCAGTGAAGACACGACAGGAAAGACATTCTGCAAAGGGCCGCAGGCTGGACTCAAACCTGGGCTTGCCACTCTCAGCCATGACATGAGGTCACCCGTTCAGCATGCTGAGCTAAACCAGCACAAATAAAATCAGTACTTAATTATAGTTCCAAATGAGTTGAAGACATAATTCAGACATGACAAAGACCTGTGGGCTTCCTGTTTTTGTCTGAATTCTCTTTAGTGGTGTAGTGAGGGGTCAGACTGTTCTTATATAATAACTAAATGTTAATTTGAGTCTTCAAGGTGAACTCAATGATTTATTGGTTGAAAAATGAGAAAGAGGCTTACAACTGATAAACTATAAGTCTTATGAGTGAGGTAAGTATTAGCATATAGAGAGTATCATATAAAGCTTATATATAAAGATTTAAAATATGTCACATTTGACTTCTGACCTCTCCTTCAATAGATGGATCTGAAGGTCAAAGCAATAATAATGCTGTAGAGTTATTCAAAGCTGTTTCTTTCTGCCATTGTTTCCATTGACAAGATAAAACTACCTAGGGAGTAATATAAGGGGATTCTAACTATCACGTCATCATTTAGTTTAAAACCACTTCCTTCTATCATCATCATCACTCCCTGAATCCAGAGACTCTTTAGCATCGATATCAGTCACCCAGGTGCTTGGAAGATGACGTAGCAGCTGCGTCAGAAGGATGGACAAATGTCTCACTAACAGTCACAGTAGTGGATGTTTTACTGTCACAACCAGAGCCAAAGACCACAGCTGAATTCCTAAAATATTCACGTGAAATCACGCTGGATGCAAACACATCCACACTGCAAAACCTTTCTAACCCTCAGGTTAAAAAAAATCCAGATATAATGAATGACTCTGACATTATGTAAGTTGGTGAGTACTGACAGTTTACGTCATTATTATAGGTACAATCTGTGGGTTAGTGAATTCCCTTCCCTCTCTACTGACTTCTGGTTATATTTTGGGTAAGAATCAGAAGGCTACTGTAAATCTCCTTTGCTAAGAACTCGTACATTTATTCTGCCACTCTGGCATAAAGGGCTATAATGGACACTGGACTGAATATTAAAAATGCCATATCATGCAATAGCCCTGTAGCGAGTAGCTCACTGCTTATGATCATACTGTAAATCTTTAATTGAGGCTGTCAGAAGCTGGGATGGGACTGACTCACTGTAACAGCAGGTGGTTGTTTTCACCTCGCTTTGTAATGTTGCATCATATTTTATGACATTGTTAATGTAGCTTGTGAGTAAATATTCAGCTCAGAATGCTTTTTTGCAACCAGAGGAGCCACCTGCTGCTGGCCTTTAGAAAGTTACATCTCCTATACTTAAACAAATGACTGAGGTTGTGGCTCCAACATCATCAGATCAGATGAATAATAATCATCAATCAAATCTAGCTTTTATAACATGCTACTGACAAGACTGCATCATTGTGTTTCAAGGAAACCAAGCAACTTATAGTGACATGGAGACCTCTTTTATAAAGGAAACATACTGGCCAAACTATTGCACAACCACACTGAAGTACAGCTGTGTCCCTCTTTCTTCAAAAAGGTCTAATTTATACCACTATACCACATTGTGTCCCATTATATTCAGCATGTTGTTTTTTTCCTTACTAAAATAAAGATGTTACCCTGTTAACCGATACAGAAAAGGTGCCAGCTCTTCCAATACACAGTAAGACGTTCACCCATGCTTTCACCGGTAAATAAAATCATGCACTGTGATAAATGGTCTGCTCCACACATTTTTACATGTTGAGATTATACACGTATGATCTGGAGTCAAATATTTGTATTATTTAAAATTTGGGAGTGGGATGTGCATTTTTTAAGCACAGGTGTGCAGCTCATATGAGACTGTACGTTTCAGATCCTCTTGTACAAACCTCCCTCTGCACTCAGAAATCTGCTGCTGTAACATGATTCAGCAGAAGTCATCAGTATATTCAGGGAGCTTTCTCAGAGGGAAAAAGACAAAGTGATATCTGGGCCTGCGATGTATGTCATATATTTTATTATGCTGCTGATCCTTCCTGGACAAAGTAAGTCTGTTTCACAACCCTTTGTAGATAACTGTGAATAGGACAGTAACTTGTGGTAAGTCACCCATAAAAGTGTTTAGACGTTTGTAGACGGGATGAAATGAAATCAAATAAAAACACACAAAAAGCACTTTTGTTCACATGGCAGTTTCATTCTATGATCATATCTACCCTTTAATAGACTGCTGTAAAATTTACATGATTTTACATTCTGTAAACAGCAATGCATTCTGGGAGCTTGAGGCAGTTTTTAGCAGTAAATCAAATACACACCTTATTCTGTAAACTTCGAATTCAAACATACACTGTGGGATTATTTTAATTTAATTTAACGTTAATATTTTTTGTTTGTTTGTTTAGTTGCTTAAAATTTGGCATTTCTGAAAGTAATGTGAAACATATGTTGCCACTAGTCGTCTACTACCATGGTAAGGTTAGCTTAATTGATGCTAGTTAGCTTAGTTAACGCTAACTTGATTATTTCCAACGCCCTCATTAGTGAATGTTGAGGAGCTTTTGGAATTGGCATACATAAGGTAAGCTTTAGGTATGAATTTAGCATTTTATCCATGAAAATTGTCCGTGCAATCCTGTAATTACCGATCTTTATTCCAGTGTTATGAACATATGTCAGCACTAAGTTTGGGTCCATATCTTCTGCCTAATTTACCGCCTCCTGCTCTCGATTCCCTATCTACGTGCTCACCTGCAGCCTTCTTTATTGCTTCTCAGGATCTGCTTTCATGTCACCCGTTTAATCCTCAAACTCCCCTGTTTCCTGTTAACAAGGTA